ACACACACACATATATATATATATATGTATATATATATATATAATCGTATAAAAAATGTCGGAACAGTACAGTAAGTAACTCATGAGAGGGAGGATATTGCCCCGCACCTTCTCGCTATCACCAGCGTTCTCACGCAATTACTCCACGTATAGAACCCGCCTCTTGCCAGTTTTTAATCCGGCGATGTCCATGTATTACGCCTGTTAACGTCGACGGCGACTGCAGCAGCAATCTTTGCAGCAACGTATTGCATGTTATATTTTCCGCCCGATTTATTAAATCATTGATTATATACCTGCCGTGTGCGTTCGTGCTGTCGTCGTTGAAGGGAGGGATTCCACAGCGATGCGAAGCTGCCCCTGTTAAATAAAGGCTTGCTCTCTAGCCCGGAAGATCAAATATTGAGGAAAAAACAGACAATGACAGGCTCGCTCGGCTTGGCCGGCACGCGTAGTATTGCTTACAGCCGTGACGCTGAAATCGTCGCATGCGAACAGCGCTCACGCGCACTGAAGCGTGATCCATTATTCATTGCCTATCACATCTCATTTCCCATCGTCCAGTGACGCGCCGGTGTTTCGCTGGAAAACAATTATTAGCGAATTTAATACCGCAATCCATTCCGTTGGGTTAAGTACAAAATCAATTTTATTCAACACGGTAAGATGATCGCATTCATCGCTTGCAAGCGCCACGTATTCTTCCGTAACGGTGACGGGGGTGCCCCGCATCCCATTTTCATTGTGCCGTGCGCCCGCGCGATGATTTTATACACTCCGTAAATTACGGGGACTATTACGAAATTAATAGTGGCAAATTTATTTCAACCGTATCGTTGACACGGGGTGGAGTATAAACAATGCAATTCGCATCGATTAGCGGCGGCAGAGAATGCACGGCTGATACGGCGCTCGGGTGCGGTGCATGGGGTTGCACGCACACCGGACGCCATGCGTCGCTAACTCACGCTGGCTGATTATGGAGCCTTGCATTCGTGCCACAGTGTCGCACCGCAGAACCGACCTGATTATAAGGCGCTGTATATAATATTGCTTTTATGCAATCGATAGGCACGGTAATGGATTTGAAACTGAATGCTAATTAAAAATTACGCTCGAAAAAATAGCCGTGAGTGACGCCGCTAGAATTGACGGCCAAAGTTCTACAGGAATCCGTTATGATGCGGACGTGGAAAATTTCTATGACGCAGTGTGTATACGAAAACTGTAAGCGTAATGCTTTAAGTACCTAGAGTGGCCGTGACAGAGGAATAGGAGGAGAAGCACAAATAGGGCGATCAAGAAGAGGTGGGGAAGAAGAAAAAGGAAGAAGAGAACAATGACAAGGAGGACGAGGATGGGCGAAGAGAACGAGTGCAAGGGCAACGATGAAGAAAGGCGTGATGAATTTGAGGGGAGTAGGAGGAGGGGGAGAAGGAGCAGAAGAAGATGCATTAAGTAATACAAGAATTAGATCTACTATGACCAGCAATTATACATATACATATATAATAGCGTAATAATTGTCGCATATAAATCGGTCATATTCATTATTCAGGTGTCGGGTGAAATAGTCGATGCATCAATCGTCCTCCGTCTCTTTGCATAACGTCCACGCACGCCTAAAGCTGGCCACTGCGTTCCGAATCTATTCCACCCATCATAATGTGTTTCCCACGCGCGCAGCGCAGGCTAGCGAATTATTGGGCAAGAAAAACTAGCTGTCCGTCTCGCTGGCGCGTACGTATTGCGTTACGCGATACGCCCCGCCCACAGATCACAGCCGGGGAAACGACATGCAAAACGCACTCGTTTAAATTCAAGTATTCTCGCGTTCCTTCGCTGATTAGAACCCGGGTGATATGCGTCGGGGTCCGTCGCATTGTGTGTCTCGGGGCCTACACAGAGCCACGCTGTGTATCCTTCTGTCGGAGCATGCATACGGGATGCCGCGCGTTATCTGCGGGGAGCTTTGTACGGTTTCACTAACGTGCGCATAATACGTCTTAAATGCGGTGGACACAAGATAAGGCGGTTGTAAGGGGCCGAAGACACGGATGCACGGCGCACACACACACACAGGCACACACACACACACACACACACACACACACACACACATGTACACACAATACACTGAGTGGTGCGGCTACACGGTAGTCGAGAGATAACGCTACTGTGTGGGGATTAGTCTGACATTCAAAACACGATGTTGATCTGAAGATATTTTTACGAAATACAGACAAGGAATAGAAAAAACCGACCGCGCGGAGAGTAACATACGCGTACATAGAAAATGCGCGACAATAGATGGATCGAGGTGATAGTTCGGGTTTCGTACACAGATGGTAGTCGTGATAGTGACTTAGTACTCTAATGTTGATTTCGTTACAGCGCACTCTGTGTGTCCCACCGACTGATTTCCGCATTACTTCTGATTCTTGCAGAATGCAACAGCAGCAGCAGCGCAGTAGCAGCAGTAGTAGTGGCGGTAGCGCGACGATCAGTCGTCCCGTGGACGGATCGACCGATGCCCTTCTCATGCATCACGGCCGGGACTCTCCTCTCTCGAGTTCGCCATGTAGTAGTCCGGATCCGACGCTCGATCCCGTACTCTCGCCGTAGGTTGTAAATGTGTGTGTATGTGTGTGTGTGTGTGTGTGTGTGTGTGTGTGTGTGTGTGTGTGTGTGTGTGTGTGTGTGTCGTGTCGTGTGCGTGTGTCGTGTGTGTGT